CTGAAGGCAATTGACACCTGGGGTCTGTTCTTCCTAGGGGAGCTGCTCCCTAGCTGAGATGGCAGTGTTGTCAGTCCCTCCCTTTCCTGGAATGAATTACATACCCAATTGATAGTTTACAGCAAAGTTGTTAATCAGATGCTCCAACTTACCACTCTGGATTCTTTCATTTACAGACCCCTGGGGGGAGGGATGAGGGGAGAAAGTTACACAGTTGCATTTAATAAATAGAAATACCTTTTTTGCTTTACCACGAAATACATAATCCCTTGTAATTTAGTTGATGTGTTTGACATAGTGCAGCTGAATGGACAAGAATAACATCCGTAGCTTTAGTAATTATGTTAAAAAACATCACAAAGTCTGTAGTTCAAACTAATAAGCCCCACCTAAGGAGATTAAAAATAATATTTTCTTCATTCTTGGCAATGACTGAGCTGGCATTCAGATTCTTAGCACTGTAATGATTTTTGTTGTCATGAGCTAGCCTATAACATGGTTGCTCGCCAAGGGAAAGGATACTTAGTCAAATTTAGATGAAGCAACCTCACTAAATCTTTCGAAGAAATAAGAGTTAACTATAAATTTGGTAGTTTTTAAATATGGACAACTGTGTTTGACCTCTTTCTATTTAAAAGCCTTAGTGTAATTAAAAAACAAAAAGAGCAAGTCATCATAACAATAGTGTCCAGATAGAGCTTCTTCTTCTAAAGAAACTGGGTTGAAGAGCAGTATTCAAATATAGGCAGATACAAGAGTTTTTGAGCTAAAAAGTCATTGCTTGCAGATTAGTATTATATACAGTCATCCTTGTGACAACTTTTATAGGATACTTCTGTTGTACTTTCATTAGAATGATTCTCTTTAGCTTTCTTCTGTTTAGGCCCTCTTCTTAGCTCTCCTGCACATAATATTTTAACAAGTTGTATTTTTTGTACACTAATTTTATGTCATATAATATGTTAATGAAGTGATTCTTAAATGTGTTCTTGAAGATCCAAGAGAAAATTCCTGTGGTTGGAACATGATAAAAAGAAATCTCTGATGCACTTATACATCAATCTCCAATGTCCATGAAATATATCTTATAAGAAAATTGTTCACAAAGTTATTTGATTGGGTGGCCTTTCTCCTTCTTCATTTGACCTATTTTTTCCTGTTAACCCAAATAAGAAAGACTACCATTAACTCTTCCAATTAATTATTCCTCAGTAGTTCTGATTGCATTTTTAAATTAGAAATTATTTTAGACATGGTAGTTTAGGCATATAATTAATTACCTTTCTGGTATCAGCATGGTGAGGTACATGAATTTGTGCAGTCTTCGTCTATCTTAACCACTATAAAGGTGACCTTTGCATTCTGAAATTGTGCTGAAGGTTAGAGTAACTTAGATTTTTATGTAACAATTTTATTAACTTAGGAATCGTATTTGTATTAGGGGCGTGTATATGTGTGTGTGTGTGTCTGTAAGTGCTTATGGGTGGCTATGTAAAACCAGTCAGCTATACTTGTCATGACTTTAACTTAGCTTGACTTCTTTCCCTTGCCCTTGTCATTGGTAATTCTGGAGTGTGCTGTGGAGGCCCCTATAGAGTGTACATTCTTACCCTTGTCACTGGGCATCCTGGATTGTGCTGTGGAGGCACTTAGAATCTACGTTCTTTGAGCTGAGTGCATCCTTTATGAATTCTCACCCACTCCACATAGATCATGTTGCCAGACAATGGTGTTTTATGTGCAATTTGTCTCTGATTGAAATCACTGCAGAGCTAATGTGTTCCATATTGTACCCAAGACAACTTTCTAGCTCTAGCTGACAAGATAACTGAGATATGAAGGATTTAACACAGGAATGAAATAAATAGAAGTAATATTATTGTAAATCTCCAAAGGTAAGTTTTAAAACACATTTCAAAGTGCCTTCAATATTTAAATTATATTTTTGGATGTTATTAAATGCTAAAATGATCCCCTTTGCAGTAGTTAATGTTTTCTGCATAGTAAAGCATAGGCTCACACTATACCAAACTCTTTTCCGCTTCCCTGTCTTGGTTTTCTTCTTGAGTTCCAACACTGCTACCTGTCCTGAATGTTTTGTTTATGTATGCTGTTTTCTGTCAAAGCTAGAATGGAAGCATGGAGAAGGTAGAGAGTAGCGGCTTCTATCTAAGCAATATTGCTTGATTGAGTCAATGTGGGCTCAGTCATTAGCCAGCGTCTGAATCTTGACGCCAGTGATTAGGAGCCGTATGACTTGGAACATGTTTGGTCATTCTTTTGTCTCAGTGTCCTCTGCTGTAAGACTAGAATAATGCTGAGTAAAGACAGAAAAATGCTGTCACTGAATAATAGGAAGATTCACAGACATATCTGCTGCAGAGTTCAATTAATGGTAGCTATGATCCATAGATCAAATGACTTTGGCTTAGGAAAAATACCCAGAGGTTTACAATAATATTAGAGTGATTTGTTGTTGTTTTGGTTTTGCTTCTGGCTAAATTCATCTCTTTTCTCCATGCCTTCCTTGGTGTTAGAGTGAAAAGCCTAGCAATGCAGAGACAAACCACTAGCTACTTGCCCTGACCTTCTACTAGGAACTTTCTGTAGGCAATTCATTATATTCTCCTGGGATTTCTGTGTTTTCACACATGCTCCTTCAATATGGAAATCCCACCTGGCTTTGTTACTCACCAGGCACTGTTTAATTTCCCTTCAACACGACAACTGCTACTCAGTAGATGCCACTACAGCTCCTGGCCTCTTTCTTTTTTCTGCCATGAATGTCGAAACAATAGAGATCAAATGTTTCTATTTACTTGTTATTGTGGTCAGGCCACAAAATTGTATAGCCTTGGAACTTAAAATTGTGCTTCTTTGACTAAGTCTAGCATATTATACAATCATTTTGTGTGTTAGGGCTACTAATTAACTAGTTAAATGCTTTCCATAGGTTGAACAGTCTTTGAAGACTTGGCTATATTCTTCTCTTGTACTAGCAAGGACAATAATCACAAGGAAGGAGCACTTAAGTATTCCTAAGTGGAGAGAAAAGGGGAGAGAGAGAAAGCAACAGATTCATAGAATCAATATTCATGATACATAGAATACAGAAAACACTCAGGCCTTTTTTTGAAATATCTTTGCATTTGGCTTTTATTACTTTTCTTATTTTATAAATTATAATATAATTAGGTCACTTCTCTCCCCTTTCCTTCCCCATTATGCTATGCAGTACCCCTTCTTGCTATCTTTCAAGTCCATGTCCTCTTTTAGCTTGTTATTGAATGCATATATTTATATGCTTAGACACATATATTCCTAAATAAAAACTGCTCACTTGTTACAGAATTACTTGTATGTATGTTGTCAGGTCTGACCATTTGACCTTGGAAAACCAATGAGTATGCTCTTACCTGAGGAAAATACCGTTTCTCACTCTCAATACTCCCTAGTTATCTATAGTTCTCAGTGCATGGTTGAAGCCTCATGGCTTTTTTCCTGTCTACTTTAACGTGTCTCTTCTTGTTGTCCATTTTTGGATCATCTTTAGGCAGTCATGTTGGTGAGAGTATATGGGTGTATATTACCAAGAAACACATAGTGTTTCAATTTAAGGAGAATAGCAAACATACACTACACCAGAGACTTTTGTACCAATTAATTCTTTGGCATGTAAAATATCTTAATGATGAAAGCCCCCAAACAGTCCTATTCTATACCATTTGGATCATCCAGTCAGCAGTTATTTCCAATACTTTGAATGTATATATATATATATATATATATATATATATATATATGTGTGTGTGTGTGTGTGTGTGTGTGTGTGTGTGTGTGTGTTTGTATAGTAAAGTGACTTGATTTATTTGACTTGCAAAAAACTTTTTTTTCCTCTGAAATGACCACAAAATGGAAGTTAATCCTGCGGTAGGAGGAATTGAGAGAAATACTCTTATTTCATTGTTTTGTGTCCTTGAATTGTTGAGGCACAAGCTTTTATCGTTCAGTGTGTCCCCACGTTCTTTGCCATTCTACCCCATGGGTTTGTGACATTTTTATTAGTCTTTTCTGCTTGGTCACTATATCCAATCCAGCAATTTATTACCATCCTCTTAAGTTGTATTCTTTGTACAGGGAGTGGGGAAAATCCACAGTGCTTGCTCATAAAAAGTCATTATCTGTCTTAGCAAATGTAGCCACACAGAACAGGGAATCATGACAGCTCTGCTGGGGAACATTGGCCACATTATGAAGGGCAAGAGAGTGGGAGTGAGGCATGATTAAGTTCTAGAAAGATGGTAAGTCCTTCAGTTGTGGCAAATATGAGTAGCCCTGCCCTGATTCATACCTCAATTGACAGTTTAATATATTTAGTAGGCAGATGAAGTTTATGTCAGGTAGTTCTCTCATTCATCATCATAATTTACTTGGCACCAGCCAAATCCAATCAGGATAGTTATATTACTCTCGTCAAATCAAAGCACCTTTTATTGCACACACACACACACACACACACACACACACACACACACACACACGAGGCATGCACGCAAAGCACATGTGAAAGAGAGATACACTGACACTTGATATTTCTTCCATCTTGAGATTGAGGTCATGTTTTATTTATTATACTATCATCTTTTGTTTGGTTCCATTTGTTGGAACTTTTTGTTGAGTAAATGACTTCATGATAGTACATTTCAAATCTAAATGTGTGTTTCCTCTGCAAGGCTCAAGCGGGGGAGGAGGATGTAAATCTGAGGCTCCATATTTTCAGTGACAGCTACAATTTCCACTTGTGCTTCAAATAGTTTAATAGAACAGTTGTCTCTTCACAGTAAGTTTGGCCCTCATCTCTCTCTCCTTCTTAGTATTCAAAATGTTGGTTACAGATTGTTCTTAAATTTTGTGATTCTCTGAGAAGTTGTCATAGGAGCAATCACATAGAATGAGCTAGATAAATTTTTTAAAATGTAAAAAATAACTAAAAAAGAAAAGTGCCTACCTCAGCAGCACATATACTAAGATTGGAATGATGTGGAGAAAATCAGCGTGGCCCCTGTGCAAGGATGACAAGCAAATTCATGGTGCATTCCATCTTTAAAAAAAAAAAACCTTGCCAGGTGGTGGTGTACACTTTTAATCCCAGTACCAGAAGGTAGAGGCACGCGAACCACTGTGAGTTGTAGGCCAGCCTGGACTGCAGAGCAAGTTTCAGGAAAGGCTACAAAGCTATAGAGAAACCTGTCTTGAAAAAAAAAGTTTAAAATATGTATTTGTCTTTGTGTGTGTGTGTGTGTGTGTGTGTGTGTGTGTGTGTATACACTTGTTTGGGCACATTGTACATGCAGTGCCTAGAAAGGCCAGTAGAGGACCAGGATTCCTTGGAGATCGAGTTACAGGTAGTAGTGAGATGCTTGGAGTAGGTGTAGGAAACCAGACCTGGTCCTCTGCAAGAGCAGCAAGTGATTTTAATGAATGAACCGTTTCTTCATCTTCCACCAAATAAAATTAACAAAAGCCTTTTTTCCTTCTTTTAAATTTTGTTTTGAAACACACACACACACACACACACACACACACACACACACTAAAGGCTTTTGCAGATGTAGAGACCCTTGACCAGCTCCGAGAGTCCTGTTGAAGAAAGACTGGAGGGATTGTGTAAGCCAGGGGTTCAAGGTCATTATGAGGAAACCCACAGAGACAACTGACCTGAGCTCTTGGGAGCCCATAGACTCTGGACTGACAGATAGGGAGCCAGCATGGGACCAACCTAGGTCCTCTGCATCTGGGTGACAGCTGTATGGCTTGGTCTGTTTGTGGAGCTCCTGGGAGTGGCATAAGGACCTGTCCCTGGCACTTGAGCTAACTTTTGGGAACCTAGTCTCTATGCTGAGTTGCAAAGATTGGTCCTGCCTCAAGTTGATGTGCTGTGCTTTGCGGATGTCCATGGAGGCCTGCCCCTTTCTGCAGGGTAACAGACTGGATGGGAGGGTTGGAGAGGGAATGGGAGGAGAGGAGGGAGGGGAAACTAGGATCAGGAGGTAAAAAAAAAAATGAAAAAATTAATTAATAAAATAAAAGGCTTTTCATTCTTTTCCTCCACCCCAAATTTCTACCAAAAATGGGATAAAATGGAATAAAATGCAATTTCAGTAACTTTACATATGATTTTTTAAACAGCTCAATACTTTAAAATAACAGTATGTTTATTGTGTATAAACTGAAAACTCAACTGATTTCCTGGCCATTGGTGTCAGTATGTCCATCATTTTATCATGAGAACATATTCTGGAAATTTATTTTGATTTTTTTTGGAAAAAAGTAGCTTGTAAGCCAGGTGATGATGCACTTATTTAAACCTAGCACTTGGGAATCAGAGGTAGGCAGATATCTATGAGTTCAAGGCCAAACTGACTTATAAAGAGATTTCCAAGACAGCCAGGGCTATTATTACACAGAGAAACCCTGCCTTGAAAAATCTAAAACATGAAAAGAAAAAAAATAATATTTTTAGGTTAACTTACTGTGGAAGAGAGAGAACACAGCATTTGTGTGCTAGTGGGAGGAGCTAAAATGTTGGCATCAGCATGAGAATTCGGGCCTTGTCTCACCTAGGCATTAAAAGTCTATAATGTGCATTTATCTTACTAAGTTATTAAAAAGCCTGCACGTTGCCATGGTGTCAGTGAAGTACGCAAACTCAGTAAATTTTGAGTGTCCTTTCACTGTGGTGGTATTAGGAACCCTGACAGTCTTTAGAGTTCATGTGCTATACATATGCTTGCCAGTGAGGATGTTCCCATCACTCTCTGAAATACCTGAGTCTTAACTGTAGCTAACTCCTCTGTGTCCAACCTCATCCACACTCCCTTTTCCAGGGGATCCCCAGCTGGATGCAATGTCCGATCCATTCACGACTCATAGTGGCAGGCTGCCTAGTATAAGTGAATCAACACATTACATTTCTTTGGTAATTCTTTAACAGGAGTCTTATAGTTCATGATGCTTTTATCTTACAGAAGAAAGAGACTTAGATAGCCTCTCCAGAGGTGTTGTCTCTTCTCCTTTTCCTCCCTTCATTTTTTTTTTGCTTATCTTCCCCATTCTCTGTTTCTCTCTGTCTTTTTCTAAGTCAGGAAGCATGGGAACCTGGTCACACTGGGGGTCATGTTGAGTCCAGGAATGAAACTGTTGGACATGCTGACCTTGATGATGAAGCAATGAGAAAGATGCTACAGTCAGTGCATGGACCTCCATCCCTGAGATGCTTGCCCTGTGAAATAGCTAGGTTTGGATAGCTTTCAGTTACGTGCAAACTAAAGTGAAAAGTATTAATTAACTCTGTGTCAAGAACTAGAGATAGCCTTCTTAGTTAACATTTTTTAATTTGTGAGCACAAAATTATGTTTCCTAAGATTACAATTTCTTTGCCTTCTTTTTGCATAGAGTGGGTAGACTACTATTTTTTAACTACTTAAAATCTCTGTGAGCCTCAGAAATTTTCTACATGATAATCTTTTCATTTTCTTAGTTAGAGATTCTTTCATTTTATGATTGCCTCATTTGTACATCAACTTTTTGTTGTGTTATGGCTTTCTTGAGAAGCCCACCACACAACTCCCAAATAAATTACACATAGAGGCTTATTCTTAGTTATTAATGCCTGGCCTTAGCTTGGCTAGTTTCTTGCAAGCTTTCCTTATCTTAATTTTTTCCAACTACCTTTTGCCTCTGGGTTTTTATTTTTTCTATTTCTTTTCTATCTTTGTTTACATCTTCCTTCATGACTTGCTGTGTAGGTGGCTGGCTGGCCATGGATGTCCTCCTCTCCTTGTTCTCTTGCTCCTCTCTCCTAGTTTCTCCTATGTTTCCTCTCTCCTGCCATTCCTGCCTATCCTTGCTCCTGCCTTGCTATTGACCATTGATGTCTTTATTAGGGCAATCAGGTGTTTTAGACAGGCACAGTAACAGAACTTCGTAGAGTTAGACAAATGCAGTGTAGATATAAATCACACACCTGAAAAGAATATTCTCCAATAACTTTCTTTTCAAAACTTTTGCATTATGACAACCTACTCAAGAGAAAGCACACAAAGATATTATTTTTTCTCTCTATTTTACATGCATTTTACATTTGTTCAAGGACTTGTTTAGTCTATGTAGAAGTTTTGTGGCATGGATAGTATCTGCAGTTTGCTCAGATCCATTTTGTCTGCTTCTTCATTTAAAACATGCAGCCTCAACAAAGTTTGGTCTCAGAAATGGCAGGTGGGCAGGGTTCGATGCTCTACCATGGTTTGATGAAGGAAGGGAGAGAAATAGAAAGGGAGAGGAAAGATTGAAAGTGACCTACAGAGCTTTAGGAACTCTTGCTTTTTCAGATATGAAACTGTTCTTAAAGGACCTCTGAGGCCTGTACACCTGACATACTCTGGACAGCGTCCATTGTCCTCTTGTCCCCCTCTGGGCTCCAGTTGTGGGATTTCTGTAGCTTCTGAGGTTTGCCTCCCTCCTTGCCTGCACAGACTTTGGCATTTTCTCTCTGTCTCTCTGTCTCTGTCTCTGTCTCTCTTTCTCTCTCCCTCTCCACCTCAACACGTCTCTGTTTATGTGGTTATGTATGAATGCTCTATCTTCACTACAGCTTAAAAACAAGCAAGTGTTTACTCATTCCTCTAATGGTTTGCCAGTTATATTAGTCATTCAATAATTATGTATTGAATAAATGCCAGCAAACATTGTCTTGTCAGCCTACTTCCAGATTTCTTCTTACTAAATTGCACTTATTTTTTATGGAAGGTTTGTTTTCATATTATCTCTTCATGTATCCCTAATAATAACCTATATAAAGGAAAGCTGTGCTCATTAGAGATAGATGTATCCCTGGATCACTCTTGTCGTGTTTCATTGCCTTATTTGTGGTTCAGCTTATGCTATGCTTTGAACCTGATCCTCTAACGTTCATGCATTGGAAGCTTGACCCCTAAGTTTAAATGGTAATGATATTTAAATATGGGGCCTTAGGGGTATTGTTAAGATTAGGTAATTATTGTGGGATCATGCCCTTGTACACTGTAAAGATATGTCACTCATATTGGTTTAATAAAACACTGATTGGCCAGTAGCCAAGCAGGAAGTATAGACAGGGAAACCAAAGTCGATTTCTGGAAAGAGGAAAGGAAGGCAGTCAGTCATCAGCTAGACACAGAGAAAGCAAGATAAAAATGCCTTACCAAGAAAAGATACCAAATTATGTTGCTGAACATAGACAAGAATTATGGGTGAATTTAAATCATAAGAGCTAGATAGTAATAAGCCTGAGCTATAGGCCAAACACTTTATAGTTATTATAAGCCTCTTAGTGTTTATTTGGGAATGAATAACTGAAGAACTGGCTGGGACAGAAACTTCTGTCTACAGGTAATTTTATATGAGTGTTTCCAGGGGGATGCAAAGAATTGTCTGTTCATCAAGATAGAGAAGAGCATAGCAGGCAAAGCAAAAGTCCCTTGTATGTCCAACTTGGTGAGTGTCTTAGGGTTTATATCACTGTGATAAAACATCATTACCAAGAACAACCTGGGGAGGAAAGGGTTTATTTCACCTTTGAGCATGTAGTCCAACTTCCATGGAAGATAGAGCAGGAATCTAGAGACAGGAACTAATGCAATGGTTAAGGAGGGATGCTGCCTCCTGACTTGCTTCTCTTGGCTTTCTCAGCCTGTTTATTTTTTAATAGCATTTAGGATCACCACGGTGGTTGGCACCATCCACAGTGAGTTAGGCTCTCCTATATCAATCATCAATCAAGAAAATGTATCACAGGCTAGTCTATTGGGGAATTCTCTCAATTGAAATTCCATCTTCCAAAATGACTCAGATGATGTCAAGTTAATATAAAATCAGCTAGAACATTGAGTCAAAATTAGTTTATTGGAGTTTGTAGTGACTCCAAGGCATTTACTTGTTCTATTATATTATTTGCTAGTTTATAAACTTGGGGATCAACTTCATAAAGATCTCATGAATGTGAATGAACTGTTGGATTCCCATGAGCCCCATGAGCCTTTGTCTTGTGAGCATCCCTACTCATTCTAC